AATTTTTAATTTATTAATTATTTAATTAAATTCATTTTCTTGGCACTAACATTAAAATTAATATTCATTTTTACATTTTTTTATATATATTTATAATAAAAAATACACTTAATTTGTACACAAATTAAAAAAAAAGGTTAAAACCCTACTTTGGTCCCTAAACTATTGTACGAACCCCTGATTTGATCCTTAAACTAAAAAAATCTCTAATTTAATCCTTACTGTTTACCATTTTTACCCTAATTTGATCCTTCCGTTAAATATCAACCTATGTGTCCCGTTACTTGACAGGAAAAAGATGAAATGTAAAAGCATTTTGACACCTAGAATGTACAACATGGCAAAAAAAATGAGATGGCAAGAAAAAAACCTTAAAAAATTTCTTTTTCTTTTTTTTCCTTCCTTTGTTTTTACCTTTTCCCTTTCTTCTTCCATTCCCATTCCTTTCACCTTCTGCAAACCCTAACACCTACTAATATTAAATTCAAGGATAACACAACAAATCAACAGATTGAACTCCATGGATCCTCCGACCCAACAGCTGCTGGGTTTGATCGCCTGCTAGGTTCGAAATCAAACCCAACACCTCAAGAATCCAAGGATAACACATGGACAACAAATCAATAACCAAATCAACTCAACAAATCCATCGAGCCAACGGCTGCTAGGTTCAAAACGGAACCTAATGCCTCATTTGCAGGAACCCAACGATTGCTCAAACCTAGCAGCCATTGGGTTCCACCAACCCAACAGTTGTTGGGTTTGAAACAAAACCCAATGCCTGCTGGGTTTGATCACCTGCTGAGTTCGAAATCGAACCCAACACCTGCAAAAACCTAGCGACTGCTAGGTTCAAAATTGAACCCAACAACTGCTAGGTTTGAAATAAAACCCAGTGCTTGTTGGGTTCGAAATCGAACCCCCACCTACAGGAACCCAGTGATTGCCTTACCTTGCCTTCTTCATCTTCATCAATCAATTTTTCATCACCATCAAACAACAAAATCCAAACAACAAAAGCAGAAATCTTTTTTTTTTTTTTTAATATTTTGCACCTGGGTTCCACTGAACCTAGGCATGCTAGGTTCAAAGGAACCCA